TGTTCAGCCTGGAGAAGAGAAGGCTCTAGAGGGGACCTTATAGTGGCCTACCAGTACCTGAAGGGGGCTACAGGAGAGACGGGGAGGGACTTTTTACAAGGGCATGTAGCAACATGACCAGGGGTAATGGATTTAAACTGTAAGAGGGCAGATTTAAACTAGAAAGAAATTCTTTATTGTGAGGGTGGTGAGACACTGGAACAGGTTGCCCAGAGAAGCTGTGGATGCCCCATCCCTGGAGGTGTTCAAGGCCAGGCTGGATGAGGCTTTGAGCAACCTGGTCTAGCGGAAGGTGTCCCTGCCTCGACAGTAGATGGTCTCTGAGGTCCCTTCCAACCCAAACCATTCTATGATTCTGTGATAAAGCATCTCTAAACTGAAAATGTAGATTTCTGTGCATTTGAGTAAAGTATGACATGCTCTATATTCTAGTGCATTCTGACTTGCAGATTCTGAAATGTAATTAAAATTCAAAAATCCACACTATATAGGGAAGAGTAACGCATACTCTTTACAGAAAAAAAAATAACTAAATCAAAATCAACATGGATTAAAACCTTGGGATTTCTAAAATTATTTCTGTATGTTTTACATTTAAGTGACACTTACTACCCAAAGCACCAAAATTCTTAAAAGTCAGTAAAATACTACAAGTTTCTTTCACCAGCAAAAATATTTGTATGTAGCTGACATAACAGTTCAGGTAGCACAACTGCACTGCTTATCAAAATGTTTAGAACTCCTTAGGGCATACATTTAGGTGACTCACCACAAGCCTTCTGTCTACTTACCAAATCATATATTTGATTAGCCAGTTGCACTTTCTCATCTGCATCTTCCAAAGCCTTGTAATAATCCTGTTAAAACAATAATTTTTAAAATTATGAATATAACTGAATTAATTTCGATCATTTTAAGCTATTGTTACCCAGCACAAAATGAAATTTAAAAGAAATTCAAGTCAGTTTTCAGAAGACTGTGGAACTGTGCTGTAAACAACAATCAACTAAATTTTAGATGAGAGGTATAATACATATCCATTTATTGTCTGTGCCTTAGAAAAAGCCAAACTACAAGATGTGGACACTTCCTCCTACAGTGATATTTAGATTCCTGCAAGAAATGCTACAAGAGAAGAAACAGTCTTGGATTTATTTTGTATTACACAGCATAAGGTTATGGACTCAAAATAAGATGATGTATTTTACTTCGTATGGATCTTTAGGACCACTGCAGATAGTACTGCACTCCAAAATGATGCTGAACAGTACTGTAAGGGGAAGCCTTTCCAGCACTGTAGTTAAATAGCGATAATGATGTAGATAGTTTATAGTTTAAATTATGTTAAAATACATTTATAGGACTCATTAGTGTATTGTAAAATAATTTGACAAAAGCAGTCCAATTTTAAAATCTGCTCTAACAGACAAAACTTTTTTTCTTTAAATTATGTTTACACACATTTTTACTCTAGAATTAAACAGGTTTAAGTGCCTTTTTATTCTCGATTTCCACTGAAGAGTGCAGTGCTTAGGCAAAATCTACTTGAAATTTTGGTCCAACTAAAGTCAAAAGTAAATTTTAAATTTACTCTAGTGAAGTCAGAGCACTGACTTTTCTTTTTTTAAATACAGAAATCCATTTGTATTAATTAAGGGAAAAAAAAAACCAAACAACACCTGAGTCTGAAGAAGCAAGTGTAGAGGACTAGAAAGGAGTTTCTCCTGACAAAATGATGGACTACCTTGCTAACAATAACACCATCAATGCCCAAGTGTTGAAGGATAAAACAAAATACATCCATCTTCTTACACTTCCCTCCCTAAAGCTACATATGCCGTATGTATAACATATACAAGGACATAGGCAGAATCACAGGAAATGCTGAGGCTAAGCTTGAAAAAAATCCTCTAAAAGAAAGCCAATTAACTTATGCAGCTCCATGTCACACAAGCAGAAACAAAAGGTCTGAGCTGAAAATATAGTACCTGGCATCCTCACCATTTCAGGATCATAATTTTTAAAATGCTAGCAAATATTGGGTAAAACTTGAAAGAAATGCTTGATCATAGAAACCTTTCAGCCATTTTTCTCCTCCTAGGTAGTTCTACCCATCTCTGTGAAAGCCCAAGTGAAGTCACAGTTCTGAACATTTAAGTCTCCATCCATCATAAGCTATTTTTTTGTAAGGTTATCTTTGCTTGCAAAAGAAAAATGTGACCCGCTCCTGTGATATCCTTACTTTTTTGATTGATGTCATTTGTTCTTCTCTCCATTCAGGTTTGTTTTTCTTTGCGTTCATAAAAAATTCATTTACCCTCTGCTCAAGCTGATCCATTGCATCTGTAGCACAGGAGAAGATTAAGATAAATGTTACCTTCTCACGTATATAAACATTATGAAATAAGGCGGATTTTTTCACTTAAAGTTGACAGGACTGAGGTGCAAACTATTAGAGAGGAAAAAAACCAAAACAACTGAAACAACCAAGTGACAGTGGACAGAGGAGGAAAACATTTACCTTGATTTCCAAGAAGCAGAATTGCATTCTGGTAGGATTCTCATCAAGGTTCTTGTGCTCTCCAGCATGGGACAGGCAGGACTCCAAGTTCTAAAGGTTTTTTGTCCCTAAGAGCAGTGGTAGTGACTTAAAGCATGACCCAAACTCCTCACCCAGGGCTCTAGACTGCTGACTTTGGAACATTCTAGCCAGTTACAAACTGAGCAGGAAACAAAATGTTCTCCTAAGAGAAACAGTCAAATACAAAACCAAATAATTGAAAAAAATTAGTGCCTCAAAAAGGTAGAGCAACTGAAGAGTCAAGTCACCACCTTTTAAGTCAAGGCCCTCTCCATTGTACGCTAGGAAGGGAGAGAGCAAATTGAAAGTGATTCCCCCACCCCCTCAGGGTAGCACCAAGGGGTAAATGCACTGATGAAGCACTTATTTGGGCAGGATTCTCACTTAAATGAAGTTGAGAAATATCATAATGCTAAAAACAAAGCCACCATTGCTCTAACATTAACCATCATAAGAAACAGAAATGTCAACTACAAGTTATTTGTTTCATTTTTTATTGAGACAGGAACAAGGATTCCCTTCCCTTTCCCTCCACCCTCCTTCAAAAAAAAGCCCCAAACCACTGAGTTTACTATTTCAACAGCTGGACACTGGTGCATGGAACAGTTTGTGTATTTCAAAAAAACAAGCAGCTGCCTCAAACTAGCTTTGACAGCCTTGCTAGTCTCAAGATAGATGACAGCAGTGCATTTTTTTTCAGAGCACTCCCAGTGATACTATCCAGATAGCAGTTTCAAATTAAACATGACACTGCATCAACTACCTACAGACTTCAGGCTCTGGGTGTAAAACACTTAAGATGCTTTCCAGAAACCACCATCAAAACTGAATCACATGATGGCCATCACCTCTTAAAAAAGTGAATTAACTTGAATAGAAAGTTCAAGGAATTAATTAATCCCCCAGTATGATTAGCTCAAAGTTTTCTCACTTTGAAAATTTACAACTAGAATTAACTGATCATGTAAATAACCAAAAATCATTCATACTAAATGATCAGAAACATTCACCAATTCTCCCTATGCTGGGAACATCCAGCCTCAAAACCAACAGGAACGTAACACACAACCAGACTGAATGCAACTAATCCCAAGCCAGAACAGTTGTGATAAGGGCTCACATTGATGTTATTTAAGACCCAGACAAAGCAGTCAAACAATTTTCGTGTAAAACAGGTTAAAGATAGGAGAATCTGTAATTTCCCACTTGCACTGTATTATTCAGGCAGAAGATTAAGAAGCCTGAGCAGCAAGCAAGCAGCAGACACTTTATGTGGAAGCTTCCAAAAGTTTTGTTCTTCGACCAAATTACTATAATTTGGTCCATAAAGCACACGGACAAAATTTTTTATCTCCTATTCCCAGAGTGCAAACAGCCAGGTGATAACTATTCTAATGGCTCCACAGACATCAAGAGAAAAAAAAAAATCTCTTTTTATTATTGAGGACACATATCAGCCTGTGTGAAATTGCGTAAGGGAAAACTCCCACAGAAACCTGGTCTCTCCTGAAACGGTAGAAATGGGTCAGATCTATTAAATTATATGAAAAGTTCTCCCTAGTACACTCAAGTTCCATCACCTTTTCTCCCCACCTCCCTTTTTAATCCAACTGCGATACTAGACGGTAAAATACTAATTTTTTGGATCAGATTTTCCCAAGAGAGTTGACAGAAATACTATTAGAAGAGAGGCCTTCTTCCAGAGGTTGACTTTTTAGCATGGAGGCCTGATAATCCATGATTTGAAGTTAAACAGAGAAACACACTTTATGCTCCATGTGGAAATGTCTCAGTTGGAGCTCTAGAGTCAAGTTACAGCTCAGATGGTCTTCACTTTTCCCAAAGCAGCCTTCATCAGCATACACAGTTGGTACAGCTGGTTTATCGTTTCTTCCAACAACACACACAGCAGCACCTACCCCATTAGAAGTCCACATAGTCCAAATAAGACAGAATATAAAGTCAACACTGACTCTAAAACACAGCAGCACTGTGTTATACTGACTTACAATTTTTATAGGTTTCTAGGACAGCATCACTCAAAGTCCTTTCAAGTACTTCAGAGACACTGAATTTTAACAGCAAGTCACTATGTCACAGTACAAGAACAATCTCCAGGTTTGCATGTAGTATTCCATGGGCAGTTTGGCGACTGATGTCAAATTGATGCTAGTCCAGAACCTTTGTAAGTGTCTTTGGATGCTTTGCCACTCTTTGTGCAAGAAATACAGAAGTACCAATGTCCAAGATAATTTTTCTCTAGGCCTAAGGTAGCTCTTAGTATACAATATTCAGTGTTATTTCCTACTTCCAGTAATACAATAAGGAGTGTTATTTGCCATTTCCAGTTAAAGCAGAGGAAATGACACTATTGCAACCTTGGCAGTAATACTTGGCTCAGTTCTGAAACACACTGAAAAAAAAACAAAACAAAACAAAACCCAAAAAAAACAACACTATTTGCTCTGCATCCCTACTAAATGGAAGTAAAATTTGTGAACTTACTCAGAACCGCCTAAGTCAGTGAGCTGCCCACTCCCTCTCCCGGTGCTCCCTAGCGACAGTTAATTCAGAGGTGTTATCTTGTATCAGGAGCCATTGACCTGTTCCCACAGCTTTAAGCACAGAACCCAAGACAGCACTTAGGCCATAGTATACAAAAAAATGCTAGAGCCAATTCAACATGTGTCAAAATAAAGTCTGTTAAACAGACCATCTGTGTCCACTAAAGTAAATATCCAAGGGAAAGCCTGAGACCGCACTTTAAAGTATTACAGGTTAAACCACTGTTTTCAAGAACTGTGCTCCCACACATGGTGTTGTATTTTGTATTCCTGTATGGCACTCACTTGTTATTTCAACCCTTGGTCTTTCTCTCATTCTTCTTTATGATAGTCCAACTCTTCTGTATTGATTACTCCTCTCATCTTTTGTCCAGTAACAGTTCTGTTAACAGCTTTGCATCACAGTTAGATTAACGTATTATTTGCGCGCTAAATGACAGCAACACCTAACTGGCTGTTAAGGGACACCGAAGTCCCATGAGATTGTACTACAAAAGATCAAAAGGCAGTGCACCCTGAAAACAGCATAAAACACTGCATTACAGCAGGATATAAAGAGAGATACACAAAGTGCTCTACAAAGAAACCTAAAGCAGACTGTGTATTTGGTGTCACCTAGGGCACAAGAGGCTAAGCAAAAGCACCTTCATACACAGTACTGCGAGGGGAGCTGGCTGGAAAGTTTCAGAAACAGCATGCTGCTACCTGCTGAAGGAGCGGGACATAACTCATGTTCCAAACCACCATCACTGCTCTTAGGGATCAAAAATCTAAAGAGTTTGGGACGTGCCACCGAAAATGCCTTTGGGAGCTGCACAAGCCCAGGAGCGAAACTCCTGTCATTTCCTACCGGCGCCGAGACTCA